AACACCAATACCGAAGAATCCTGGAATCATCACTTATTCTATATCCGACAACTTCAACCAGAATAGTGGCTTCTATAACATAGCTGAACCACTTGCCAAGAAACTTCTTCATCGCTATCCCACATAAGAACACTGTAGAAGGTCTGCTCACAAACTTATCCAATCTCCTTTCTACGCTACCCAAGTTTTTAGACTCCATAACCCCACTCGGTACATCATCAGATGCAGCATTCTTCACCTGACCTCAGCCGGACTATAAATACTCGCGTTCCTTCCACCCCAGGTAGTTCTGTTTGTGACTTGAAAAAGCCCACTGTGTGGGCGAAACGTAGTCAATAAAGGATCACATTATACTGCATTTGTGTTTATATTGCCATTGTGTCGGTATTTTATACCATTTATTTCCATTGATATTAGCTAGAGAAAGTTCCCTCCGACCCTTGGAGTTAATGCAAAATGAAGCTCTCAGGACTATTCTTGGCTGTCCCAGATCTACAAAAGTTCTTAACATGAGGAAGGAGCTTGGTATTTCTAGTATCGGTGATAGGATTGTTGAAATTAACACTGTACTCGGTATTAGAATGTTGAGAAACGAACCAGACACTGTCACAGTGTCTAGAGGTAAATACACACAGATCTAAATGGATTGTGAAAACGTGCAATTGCATTAAGTTTTATAACCTGCATGAACTATCACTGTAGGCAACAAGAGCATTTCACCCCTCCATGGAAGATGTGTTCATTTAATATCACATACCTACAAGTCCCTCCCAAGAAGCTCATTGCTAGTAATCCCTTCCTTAAATCTCTTGTTAGAGCAACTGCTCAAGAAGAAATTTCTCACCTAGCTGGTAGTAACAAGTTATCACAAGTTATATACACTGATGGATCTAAACAGGAGTCTTCTGGCAGGGCTGCATCTGCTCTTGTTGCCACCTCCCTAGTTAAGAACGATAATAAATTTGTTGAGTTAGGCATAAGAATTAACAACTGGGCGTCTACACTGCAAACTGAATTGTTTGCAATCCTAATGGCGCTAAAGCTAACCTATGACACTGAGCTTGACTCTATCATCATTACTGATTCTATGTCATCATTGAAGACTCTTGGCTCATATAATGACTCCAACAACATGCTCATTGGGGAAGCCAGGTATATATACTCAAAAATTAGGGACAAAGGAATTAATGTACAATTGCTATGGATCCCATCACACATTGGATTACTCCTTCATGATAAAGTTGATATGTTAGCCAAGAAGAGTATCCAGAAGGAGAATGTAGAATATAACTTTGGTATAACTGTGTCTAGCATTAGGAATAATATTAGGAGAGAAGTAAATAATGAAAATGATTGTTATAGGAATGCAGTTAGAAGCCTGAGTAGATCTATAACCCACTATGATAACATGAACGTAAATAAGTATGTTTATGGAGCAACTTGCAATGTGAGCAGACTGACTGATGTTGTAGTGGCCAGGCTTAGGCTTGGTTACAAGTACTTCTGGCAGTTTGGGAGACACACAGATGATGATCAAACTAAATGTAAATTATGTGATCAGGCATATGGTCACTCTCTTGAACACTATGTGCTTAATTGTCCATTTATTGAGGAATACAGAGACAGACAGTATAATAACCTATGTGACATGTCAAGATATCTTATTAATGAAAATAAGATACCAGATATACTAAGCAAATTTCCTAAATTTGCTTGTAACAGATAAGTGAACTATAGATATGTAGATATAAATCCATATGTATTCCTGTTAACCCTTTGGGGCCTAGTTCCTAGGCCTTTTGTGTATCCATATGCTCTCGCGCTACCTTCCACAGGATGGATATGGGGTGCACATTAAACTAGCCACTTCGGTGGCAAAATCTAAAAAAAAAAAAATCTTGGTTGTCTTGATGTACTTTCCCTATTAAATTTAATCTAAATAGCCAGAATGTATATAATTAGACCTTAAACAGGCTCACACCGACCCCCCCCCACCCCCAAGCTGGAAGGGGTCGCTTCGCTTACCCGTATCCGGAGATTTCTTAATCCGGCCCTGTGTATGGATCCTGCCTCCACTTCACCACTTTCCAGCCTATTCCACTTCCTGACAATTCTATGCCATCAGTGAAGGCCCTCGACTCATATAATGGCTCCAACAACATGCTCAATGGAGAAAACAGGTATAGACGCTCAAAAATCCGGACAAAGGAATTAATTTACAATTGCTATGGATCCCATCACACATTGGATTACTCCTTCATGATAAAGTTGATATATTAGCCAAGAAGAGTACCCAGAGGGGGTGTTTGTAACAGATAAGTGAACTGTAGATCAGTAGATATAAATCCATATGTATCCCTGTTAACCCTTTGGGGCCTAGTTCCTAGGCCTTTTGTGTATCCACATGGTCTTGCACTACCGTCCACAGGTTGGATATGGGGCGCACATTAAACTAGCCACTTCGGTATCAAAATCTAAAAATCTAATCCAACACCGATGGCTGTCGCTGAAGATAAAATTAGGTAGCTAGAACATTCTGATAATTTCTGACGTTTTTTCGTGAATGGGATGTCTCGCCCACAGGATGGGTATGGGGTACATAATAAACATATTATACTAACTAACTCTGTTATCAGACTTTTTTTTCTGTGAGATAATGAACTTCTTAAGCAACCTACCACTTAAAATAATGCATAAGTAAATTATCGTTTCTCTGAATGTAACTGTACTTTAAAATATCTAAAAACCTCTGGAATTTCTGAGTTACAAAATTTACAATTATGAGGTGAGATGGTATGAGGCTTGTTATACGAAGACATTTGTTAAAGTGTCACTATCGTACCTAGATAAGTAAAGCTCAGGAGATAACGCATGATAAAGGTTTGTCTTCCTACGTTAAAGGTTGCAGTATGGCAGCTCTTGGTAAAACCCAGCAGTGACCAAGTGACCATATCAGTCGACACCCCTCTTGCCTCCTCAGAGCCCGGTCCCTGGACCCATTGTGTACCTCTGTAATCTGTAAATACCTTTGTAACTTGTCATGATTGTGACTAGACCTACCTGGAGTTCATTACCTTTGTAAATTGTGAGTTCATTACCTTTGTAAATTGTGAATTCATTACCTCTGTAACTTGCTCAGCTATCAAAACTTTGAGGCCCAGTCCCTGGACCCATTATGTACCTCTGTAATCTTTTGACTACCGCCCACAGGATGGGTATGGGGTGCATAATAAACATATTAAACTAACTAACTCCTCAGAAAAGGTCAGGTCAGTGTCACTGTGCGACAATATCCTCCTCAAAAGAACTTATTTTTTTTACTTCTAATTTAAGATCAGCACAAAAGCAACTTTGACACTACGCCAGTGTGTGTTTTTCTGTTTTATTGAATAACTGAGTCTGTGTTACCTTGCTGCTGCTACATAGAGAACATTACTCTAACGTCACCAGCTACACCACGGTGTGCGGATGACTAGTGCCTAACATTAGAGGCTTACAGTTGGGGGATTACATTTCTTTGTGTTAAGTTCTGTCTGAAAGTAATTATTTTACATATTTTACGTTAGCCTACGATAATCTAAATTAACGAACATAAAGCATTCGGCCTATATCCATATAATAATGAAAACAAGGGGGTTCTTCCTTCAGTGTAGGAAGATAGATGTAGGGAGAAAGGTGTAGGAGGACAGGTGTAGGAGGACAGATGTAGGGAGACAGATGTAGGAAGACGTGTAAAAAGACAGGTGTAGGGAGACAGATGTAGGAAGACAGGTGTAGGGAGACAGGTGTGGGAAGACAGATGTAGAAAGACAGATGTAGGAAGACAGGTGTAGGAAGACAGGTGTAGGGAGACAGGTGTAGGGAGACAGATGTAGGAAGACAGGTGTAGGGAGACAGGTGTAGGGAGACAGATGTAGGAAGACAGGTGTAGGAAGACAGGTGTAGGAAGACAGATGTAGGGAGACAGATGCAGGAAGACAGGTGTAGGAAGACAGGTGTAGGGAGACAGGTGTAGGAAGACAGGTGTAGGAGGACAGGTGTAGGAGGACAGGTGTAGGAGGACAGATGTAGGAAGACAGATGTAGGGAGACAGATGTAGGAAGACAGATGTAGGAAGACAGATGCAGGAAGACAGGTGTAGGGAGACAGGTGTAGGGAGACAGATGTAAGAAGACAGGTGTAGGGAGACAGGTGTAGGGAGACAGGTGCAGGGAGACAGATGTAGGAAGACAGGTGTAGGAAGGCAGGTGTAGGGAGACAGGTGTAGGAAGACAGGTGTAGGAAGACAGGTGTAGGAAGACAGATGTAGGGAGACAGATGTAGGAGGACAGGTGTAGGAGGACAGGTGTAGGAAGACAGATGTAGGAAGACAGATGTAGGAAGACAGATGTAGGAGGACAGGTGTAGGAAGACAGATGTAGGAAGACAGATGTAGGGAGACAGGTGTAGGGAGAGAGATGTAGGAAGACAGGTGTAGGGAGACAGGTGTAGGGAGACAGGTGTAGGGAGATAGATGTAGGAAGACAGGTGTAGGAAGGCAGGTGTAGGGAGACAGGTGTAGGAAGACAGGTGTAGGGAGACAGATGTAGGAGGACAGGTGTAGGAGGACAGGTGTAGGAAGACAGATGTAGGAAGACAGATGTAGGAAGACAGGTGTAGGACGACAAATATAGGAAGACAGATGTAGGAAGATAGGTGTAGGGAGACAGATGTAGGGAGACAAATGTAGGAAGAGGTGTAGGAGGACAGGTGTAGGAAGACAGGTGTAGGAAGACAGGTGTAGGGAGACAGATGTAGGAAGACAGGTGTAGGGAGACAGGTGTAGGAAGACAGGTGTAGGAAGACAGGTGTAAGAAGACAGGTGTAGGAAGATAGGTGTAGGAAGACAGGTGTAGGAAGACAGGTGTAGGGAGACAGGTGTAGGGAGACAGATGTAGGGAGACAGGTGTAGGGAGACAGATGTAGGGAGACAGGTGTAGGAAGACAGGTGTAGGAAGACAGGTGTAGGAAGACAGATGTAGGGAGACAGATGTAGGAGGACAGGTGTAGGAGGACAGGTGTAGGAGGACAGGTGTAGGAGGACAGGTGTAGGAAGACAGATGTAGGGAGACAGATGTAGGAGGACAGGTGTAGGAGGACAGGTGTAGGGAGACAGATGTAGGGAGACAGATGTAGGAGGACAGGTGTAGGAAGACAGATATAGGGAGACATGTAGGAAGACAGGTGTAGGAAGATAGGTGTAGGAAGACAGATGTAGGGAGACAGATGTAGGAAGACAGGTGTAGGAAGACAGGTGTAGGGAGACAAATGTAGGAAGACAGGTGTAGGAAGACAGGTGTAGGAAGACATGTGTAGGAAGACAGATGTAGGGAGAAAGATGTAGGACAAGTGTAGGAGGACAGGTGTAGGAAGACAGATTTAGGGAGGCAGATGTAGGAGGACAGGTGTAGGAGGACAGGTGTAGGAAGACAGATGTAGGGAGACAGATGTAGGAAGACAGGTGTAGGGAGACAGATGTAGGAAAACAGGTGTAGGGAGACAGGTGTAGGGAGACAGATGTAGGAAGACAGGTGTAGGAAGACAGATGTAGGGAGACAGATGAAGGAGGACAGGTGTAGGAGGACAGGTGTAGGAAGACAGATGTAGGAAGACAGATGTAGGAGGACAGGTGTAGGAAGACAGGTGTAGGAAGACAGGTGTAGGAGGACAGGTGTAGGAAGACAGGTGTAGGAGGACAGGTGTAGGAAGACAGGTGTAGGAAGACAGATGTAGGAAAATAGATGTAGGAAGACAGGTGTAGGAAGACAGGTGTAGGAGGACAGGTGTAGGAAGACAGGTGTAGGAGGACAGGTGTAGGAAGACATGTGTAGGAAGACAGATGTAGGGAGAAAGATGTAGGACAAGTGTAGGAGGACAGGTGTAGGAAGACAGATTTAGGGAGGCAGATGTAGGAGGACAGGTGTAGGAGGACAGGTGTAGGAAGACAGATGTAGGGAGACAGATGTAGGAAGACAGGTGTAGGGAGACAGATGTAGGAAAACAGGTGTAGGGAGACAGGTGTAGGGAGACAGATGTAGGAAGACAGGTGTAGGAAGACAGATGTAGGGAGACAGATGAAGGAGGACAGGTGTAGGAGGACAGGTGTAGGAGGACAGGTGTAGGAAGACAGATGTAGAAAGACAGGTGTAGGAAGACAGGTGTAGGAGGACAGGTGTAGGAAGACAGGTGTAGGAGGACAGGTGTAGGAAGACAGGTGTAGGAAGACAGATGTAGGAAAATAGATGTAGGAAGACAGGTGTAGGAAGACAGGTGTAGGAGGACAGGTGTAGGAAGACAGGTGTAGGAGGACAGGTGTAGGAAGACAGGTGTAGGAGGACAGGTGTAGGAAGACAGGTGTAGGAGGACAGGTGTAGGAAGACAGGTGTAGGAAGACAGGTGTAGGAGGACAGGTGTAGGAAGACAGGTGTAGGAAGACAGGTACAGGAGGACAGGTGTAGGAAGACAGGTGTAGGAAGACAGGTGTAGGAAGACAGGTGTAGGAAGACAGGTGTAGGAGGACAGGTGTAGGAAGACAGGTGTAGGAAGACAGGTGTAGGAGGACAGGTGTAGGAAGACAGGTGTAGGAAGACAGGTGTAGGACAGGTGCAGGAGGACATGTGTAGGAAGACAGGTGTAGGAGGACAGGTGTAGGAGGACAGGTGTAGGAAGACAGGTGTAGGAGGACAGGTGTAGGAAGACAGATGTAGGAAGACAGATGTAGGAGGACAGGTGTAGGAAGACAGAGGGAGGAAGACAGATTTTGGGAGACAGGGTAGGGAGAGAGATGTAGGAAGACAGGTGTGGGGGAGACAGGTTTTTAGGGAGATAGATGAGGAAGACAGGTTTTGGAAAGGGGCGGTGTAGGGAGACGGGTTTGTGGAAGACGGTGTAAGGGGGGACAAAAAGGTAGGGGGGAAGGTGTAGGGGGGGCGGGTGGGAAAGGGCAGATTTGGAAAGACAGATGTGGGAAGAAGGGTTTGGTGGGCGACAAAATGGGAAAGGGAAGTTTGTAGGAAGATAGGTGTAGGGGACAGATGTAGGGAGACTGCCCACTGGAGCGTCCCTCGTTGTGCTCCGGTTTTTCTGGTTTTTTTTCACGGTCGCTCTTACGTGCTTGAACTTTAATTTGTGTCATCAACCC